CCCCCCCCCCCACACCCCCCCCCACCAGCTCAAGCCTCTCCAGGACTGGCACTGCTCAAAGCCACAAAGCAGCGCAGCAGGTGGGACAGCTGCAGCTAGACCCATGTCCTGGTGCTGGGATGAAGCTGCTGCCAGGAGAAAGCAAGTGGGGGCAGGCAGGGGCTCTGGATCAGGAGTGAGGGGTACTGGCAGGGCTATGAGTTGGGAGCGAGGGGCAAGGGCCTGGGCAGGGGCAAGGAACTGGCGTATCAGTGTTGCTCAGTACCACAAAGCAGCTGTGGGTCCAACTGCAGCTGTCCCCATGTCCTGGTGAGTGAAGTGGGCAGGGGCAGCTCTGTTTTTTCAATGATTAAAAAAAAAAGCATGTCAAAATGTATAGATATTTAGAATGTATTTTATTATGATGACAGAGGCACTGGTAGGCTTCCAAGTTGCTATAAAACATTGCACAACTGATCTCTCTCTCTCTCTCTCTCTCTCTCTCTATATATATATATATATATATATAGTGGCATTTAATTTTAATCATGGAAGAATGAGGATTTGGGGTACTTTAATGAGAAAATATGGGGGAGATTATCACAGAATTTGCAGTTTTTAAACAGGATCCCTGCTGGTGAGGCAAGTGGCAGGACCCAGGCAGAGAAGCCTGCCCAGGGCCAGCGCCATGAGCCAGATGGAGGGCAGATGAGGTGGCTGACCTCCTGGCCATCAGGGGCCAGGAGGACATGCATAGACAGCTCAAAGTGGGCTGTCACAATGAGCACATCTTCCAGGCAATAGCTGCCCAGATGGCAGAGCTGGGGCACCAGAAGACATGACAGCAGTGGCATTCAGAAGCCAACTGTGCAGCCACGGTCCATCGGTAGCTGGCCCAGAGGTGCAGGTGGCTCTGCTGTAATGCCTATACCATAGCCCAGGTGGCTGTGTGGTCCCTGTCTGGGTCTGACAGGCATGCAGCCATGGGGCCTCAGGTCATAGCCAGGCAGCAGCCCCCGCCAGGCAGACTGCTACAGTGGGTAGAAGGGGCAGGGCCCACTTCAGGTTAGGGCTGCTTTAGCAGTCCAGCTGGCACAAGGGGCTAGTGTCCCCAGATATCATCTGGCTGAGCCTCAGAAGCTCCTGAGGGCAAGTAGCCCTGAGCTACTCACTAGGGCAGCTTTTTATACTGCTGGGGCCAGCACAGGTGCCAGCCCCAGCCTCCAGCTGCCCCTGGTTGAAGATCTGGGAGTAGCTGGGCAGGATCAGTTTGCCCCAAGTGGCACAATTTGCCCCACACCAAAGTGAATGTTCAGGCCTGTGTGCTGAGGCACAAATCTCCAGCACAAATTTGTGCTGCTGCTACTTGTGCTGCTGGAAGTGCATGTGACTACACGTGTGGCTGTGCTCAAAGATTTCAAATAGGAATCCATAACGACAAAATCATTCTGACCTACCGTGGTCTTTCTGAGTTCTTTGTCTATTATTTTTCTATTTATAGTAAAAAAAAATGAGTAAAAGCGAAAAGGTGGCAGTTTCTGAGAGGTCCCTTGAGTCTTATAAAGCGTACCCTGAGTCTAAAAATGTTGAAAACCACTGCTTTACATTATGCTGCATTTGTTAAACAATATGCAAAGTAGCCATACCCAAAGACAGACAGACAGACAGAGAGAGAAAGAGAGAGAGAGAGAGAGAGAGAGAACATGTTCTTTTTGAATCCACTGCATCAAATTATACAAAGGGAAAAAGACACCTTATCTGAGTGACACTCCATTCTGGATCTGTGCCTGCATTTCGGGTGTGCTGGTAATGGAGAATTTGGCTCACTTTTGAAAGTCTAACAGTTCTTTTTTGGTAGGCAGAGTCCACTGTTTTGCCAAGTTTTTATCTTGCAATCTTACAGATTGTTGGTTTGCCATTTTAATTATTTTGTAATTTGTGATATCACTTTAAAAATGTCTCCATGCAATTAAGCACCCCAGTATCACATTAGATAACCTCCAGAATTTACACATGCTGAAGCTGTATTTCATTTTTATCTACAGTAGGCTTCATTTTGATTTGCAGCAAATGACCATAGGCTACATGACTGTTGACTCCATGGGATAATACCAGCTCTTTAACTGTATCCAATACATTACACAAGATTTGATATTAACAAATAATCCCACCTGACCACACTCAGAAATGAGGCAATCCAAACTAATTGTGAGGGTAGGGCGGAGATGCTGCAGGGGACAGATCCTCCATATAGTTCTAGTAAGAAACATCTTTAGCTATTTCCCTGATTTTAACAACTTCTTGACAATCATTTCTTAAATTAGTCATTTTCTTACTTCCTTCTAGATCCTCTTTTTATCTTCTAGTTCATAAGGTCCTAATTCTGCAAAGACTTATTGCTGAGTACAGAAAGCATTACGGAATAGTCCCATTGACATTAAGGACCTATGAATTAACCCACTTAATCTTAGGACATCTGAGTTCACCTGCTGACTCTCCATAGACTTCCTGAGTGATAATGGACAAATCACCAGCTTTTTAAAAATATTAAGGAGACAGGTAGGTATTCTCATTGACAGTAACAGGAATTTGGCACCTTTAGGGTACAGAGAGATGCCTACTTTTAATTGATCACAACTGAAGTTAGGCATCAGTGTGCTATATTTAAGTGGCATATTTAGGTACCATGACACTTTTTAAAATACGAACCTTTACTTCTTTATGTTGCAGTTCCTCATTTGTAACATGAGGATGGAAATCACTCCTGTCTCCCACACTTTGTCCAACTTCTAAGAACTCTGGGACAAATACTTTTCCTTTTAATATTCATGAGCATAAGGTAAATAGAGCCCTGATCTCACTTGGAGCTACTGCAAATTGAAAAAATGTTATGCTCAATAACACAGTATGGGTTTGCACAACTAGATCCTAGTGCAGTGAGGGTAGCCTCTGAAATATCTTTCTGTGGTTTCTCTTGGGATATAGTTGGGTTTTTCAACTCCCGTGAACCTTGGTAGTTAAGTTTTGGAATATTTAACAAATCATCTGTAGTCCCCAAGGCAATGAAGACAGATGAGAGCTTGCATAGGTCTAATTTATGATAATACTGTGAAAAGGCAAATCAGAACTCTAAAAACAAATCAGATAATCCTTAAAAAATATAGGCTTGTATAAAGAATATTAGTCCAAGGGACATAAATGTAATATTACATTTATCTAAATAAAATAAGCTTAAGAAATCAGCAGTGAATAAATTTGTTTCTGAAAGGGCTTTTTAGCCTGAGGAATTCCAGTGAGCTGTAACTGGAAGAAGAGTGCAGCTGTGCTCCTTTGCAGCAAAACTCACCAAGACTTCTTGTTCACAGTATCATTAAACATAATTTGTTTCCCATCTGGATAGTGAATCTTGTTTAAGAGGAAGCAAGGTTCAGAGATTTCTGTATCTATCAGACTACTTACCCAGTATAACACGTCAGTCCATCCTTCCATGGTTATACACTGGAACACAGTTAACATTGCAAAGGCAAAGTTATCAAAGTTGGTTATGCCTCCATTTGGTCCAACCCAGCTGCCTTTACATTCAGTGCCATTCACTGAACACTGACGTCCATTCCCTGAGAACGCACAAGGTGCTGGATCTTCTTCAACTAATATATCTGAAAATTGACAAAACCATTTCAGAATTCTGAATTCTCAAAATCATTGTCAAATTATTTGCCAAATGAAGAGATGAATTAATGTTGGTGGACTAATGACAACATCACTTGAAGAGATAATGTATTCTGGCCTTGGTGCCTAGAGGAAGTGAGAAGGGGACTGTACAGAAGGTGCAGGCCCTTGGCATCTCTCAGGTCCAAGTTCCCATTGTGCAAGGATAGACACTGTCAAAACTAAATGAACAAAAAGTTCAAGTAATACAAGATGGAAAAAACACAAATGGACAGCTTGTGGTAATGTGAGGTATCTTGCTGGACTGGCATTCACACTCTAACATTAGCTTTCTTTTGTTGAACTTCCTCCCATCCCAAATTTCTCTCTTCCCTTCTTCTCAACAGGCCTGGAATAGTCCCTCCATTGAGTCTGGTCCATTTCATATTTGGCTGATGGAAATGTTATTCCAATCACTTAACAGAATTTCTCACTCGTGGCGCTCTTTCATTCCTCCTAAGCCCTCCCATATCAAAGGCTTTTATTGCATCACTTAAACTACATCTGAATGGGGGAAGATTTGATTTCTCTATTACTCACATTAGTGCGGCTCCTATAATTAGACTGCCCAAATTGCTGAAACAGAGAGACAGCAGGATCTGGCACAGGAGGATAAGTCTTCCCTATAACTATCTTCTTTAGTAGCTTGGGATTCAGAACCCAATTATTGAGCTTCCCACTGTGGGCTGTCACTACATCACTGTGTTGTCCCTTTGGCTATATTTTCTACTAACCAAGTTCAGTTCAAAGCAAGTATTACAGCTTCAGTCTCTAGTCAGCTTTTTAAAACTCAATATATTTGTTCAAAAATCATGAATCACTTGGGAGACTAAGGTTTAGAACAGTGTTAGCATATAGGCTATATCCACAGAAGACCTACTGACTTAAAAGGGACTGGAATTAGGTCCTTATGTTATTTAATACCTTTTATGACTTACCTGTACCAATAAGAAAACATGATTTGTGCATTTTTCCAATAAAAAGTTCCAATCCTATGATAGCATAAATTATGATTACAAATAATACCAAAAGGGCAATATGGAGCAGAGGGACCATGGCTTTTATAATGGAGTTCAAGACAACTTGTAAACCTAAAAGAGAAAAAAAAGAATACACAGATACTGAATCAGGCTGTCCATTGTTTTAGCTTTTCTGCTTATGAAACCTGCAGTTATACGTTATTAGACATTTATAACTGAGAAATCAAGGGCTGTAAATTTAAGATCTGTGTTGAACCTAGAGTTTCCTCTCCAAAGCATAAACCTTGCTACATCAGCTCAGAGGAAGATTTCTGAAGCTGCTCTGATTTAGAAGTCCAAACCTAGGGCTGCTTTAGAAAATTTTAACATTTAATTACAAACCTCACCGGACATTGCTTGTATTTAGCGAGGCTAATGTCATAGGAAGCAATGCTTGAGGCAGCAGTAAGAATTCATGCTTTTTAAATGTAGTACATTCAAGGTGGGAGCTAGGCACTATATTACCAGAAGCAGCTTAAAAATCCTGTGCTTAGAACCTGATTTTGCAAGAAGTGTGTTTCAGATGTGCCCAAGGGTCCAACTATACAGAGCTTGTTGTAGAACTGGCACTTGGTTCGGAAAGGTAATAGCACCGTTGGAGAGCACTGCACCTGTCTGGTAAATATCTTTTAAGCTGATTTTTGTACTAAGGAAAGCTTTAAAGAATGAAAACATTTGAACTCAGTCATTTGTCCTTCATTTATTTTTTTTTCACTTTTTCCTTATTGTTCTTGCCATTTTTCCCTAAATGTATTTTGGCCAAATTCTGCTCTGATAGATAGTAAGTCCCAAATTAATGGAGTTAATATCAGTCATATTTTATCATAGAAAATTAGGGTTGGAAGGGATCTCAGGAGCTCATCTAGTCCATCAATAAGAGCAGAATAGGGCTCCATGGTATTAAAACAAAGGCTGTCTCTGTTATGGCATTTATCCCCATACCGCTTGATTCCCCACTTAAGTTATTTTGCTAAGTCTGTATTAACACGATCACTTGCATGCAACAGATTATGACGTAATAAACATGACATTTTGACGTTTCCGCTGAATCAAATACAAGAAGCTGAGCCATGAGTCAGAAACACATCATTCCACCCAAATATCTTCTATAATTAGAAATGAATGAAAAAGTAATAGGATTATTAGAAAGATCAATTGCTTTCTTTAAATAATATTGCTCTATTTTTTGAGTTTTCTAATTTTGGAAATCCTTCTTATATTCTCTTTGGGATAAGCATCAGTGAGCCATATTAACATCAAGAGAAGTCATTCATCTGCATGAGGGTCAGAAAAAAATGAAAGTGCTTATGAGCTGTGACATACATTTACCTGCATATAAACTACATTTGAGCTATCTACATTTAAGTTCCCTGGGATTTTGCTTTCAATAATGTAACTTTATTTTCTAGTTCATTTGCATTTTAACATGTAATTTAATTTATATTAAACTTCTAAAAATGAAATACGCTCCCCTGTCTGCTTAGTGAACTGTGTAAGAAGATCATACACTGAATGATTTCACAATCCCTTACTGAACTTGAAATAGGATATTATACATCTTGAAGCACACTTTATCTGCATAACCAGATAACAGAAATCAACTTTAGACTGTCACATTTATTCTTTTCTCTAGAGCAAGAAGGTTAAATAAACTGAAAAAATAATACAGTAAAACAGATATTTTATTCTCCAACAGAATTACACAGAAAAGGGCTTACTGGGCACTCCTGATACGAGCCGGAGAGGTCGCAATACACGAAAGGCTCTTAGGGCTTTGACATCAAAGCCACCTGGTTTGCCACCTGAGTGGCTACCTCCTTCTGCTTCTTTGGTTAATTGTTCCAAAATTACACTAAATAATCTAGCAAATAAAAAAGAAAAGAAAGGTCATTACCACCAATTTGCCATGTAATCAGAAAAATTAGGAAATTGCTGGAATTATGGATAATTCTGAAAAACTGTTCAGCTGTTGAAATGAAGTGAATATATGTATTAAAACATGACAGTGATAGTTATGAAGTGCAAGAGCTTCTAATCCCTCGAGAGAGATGATCACACAGTATCCACTAAATTAATATTCTGTTATGATACAGTCATTGCTATTTTTAAACAAATGAAGCCACCTTATCACTGATTTTTGTTCAAACATTTCAGCTGTGACGTCTGCAGAATTAGTCTCTGTAGAACGTTAAATAGATAATTACAAGGAACTGTCATTTTTATATTTTGTGCAATATACAACTCCAGTGACACTATGGTCCAGTATTCTAAACACGGGGAAAACAATCAGTAGTATCAGGCTTTTCATAAAGTTCAAACTATTTGTTTCTTACTCATAATAAACTTTGAGGGTAAAAATACACCCAGATGAGTCACGTATTGTACTGCATTTCTTAGCTGCACAAACTGGTTGCTCTTTCACTAAAACAGTGATGGAAAAGGAGGTTTTCCAGTACCAATAACACTTCAAGCTGACAGTGGTGAAGGTCACAGGGGATGCCTATACATGTGCAGCGAGGCTGCTCCGACACACTATAATTACAGTATGTTGGAGCAGACTTGATTAATCGAGTCTGCTGAAGCGTGGTAATTAACACACTCCAGCAGCCCCCTGCATCTGGTGTATCAGCGTCCCCACATTAAAAATGGTGGTGGGGGTGCTTGAAATAAAGCTCATTGAATGAGCTTTAGTTCAAGTACCCCTGCCATTTTTAAGCGTAGGGATGCTGATACATGAGATGCGGTGGCGTTTTAATTATAGCAGCTCTTGGAGCTGCTCTAAGTAAAGCACCCCTCCCCCCCCACCCCCAGAGCATGTGTAAAAATGTCCTTAGGTATTCCCTCTACTCCTACAAAAACCCAGCTTAGGCCACCCTTTCCCATTCCCAGTCTGTTCCACCTTCTCACCAGTGTAGATGCTAACCACAAAGAGGGGATGTGGCCTGTCCCAGGGAATGTAAAACCTTTTAGTAAATGAAAGAATGCAAGCATGTAATTCTGTAGGCTCTGGTTCACCAGCATAATTAAGCACAGGACTAATTTGAAGTAACTGAGCAGTCTTGTTGGCTTCAAGAAACTACTCATTTTCTTAAAATTAAGCACAGACCTGAAATTGCTGAATCAAACCCAGGACATTTATGGAGGATGCAGCTTCCAGTCACTCACCACAGGAATAATTGGCAAAATTAGAGGTCCAAAGGGATAATAAGGTACTGTGCAAACCTCTGTACTCAGGACCTGATCTGGTCCTTTTCTCTCAAAGTTGTTGTTAAAGTCAATGGTAACTTTTGCTCAAGAAAAGAAAGAAGTGTATAAGGAAATGGATTACTCTTAAGAGATCCATCCTCTGATTGAGTTCAATGGTAGTTGACTAAGTCAGGGAAGAATAAGAAGTGCAGAGCAAGGCCTACAACTATGTCAATATATATCAACCCTGCCAAACCACTAACTAAGCTATATAAAACTGGCAGGCCCCTGATTTCATTAAAAACAGGACATTTATTATTCTGTGCACTGTACCAAAGCCATATAGGATTTTAAAAAAAACACTGCTTAAGTTATTTATGTTAGAAAATTTCCTTTTGTATATGCACCTGCATTTCTTTTCCTATTGAAACATATTTTGGAACAGTGATGATTTTGTCTTTGGTGCCACTGAAATTTCTGCTGACAGTAAGAGCATTTCATTTAACATATCTAATGTTGGATGCCTGTAGCAGTTCCTTTGAAGATATTAAAATGTCTAATGAAGTTCTATAATGAATCAACTCCAAGAGAATCAGATCCAGAGGTGATTCCGTCTCCACAGAGGGTCAAATACCAAAATCAATTATTCACTGGGCTTTTGACTTCAGGGCGCAAATTAATTATGTAACTGGCCACATGCTTGCTTACTTGCTTATGTTCTGTCATTGATGATCTTAAAGTAAGCATGAAGAGCATGCTTCATCCTCTATGAGTGATGGACCCATGTTATGCAGCACCTTCCTTTGCCCTGTTACAGTAGGTTAGACATACAACTACAATAACTGCACCTCATATAATAATCCTTCTCTTCTGGTTAGGGTCAGGGGCTTATATTTAGGTCTTAGGATGAGATTTTAAGTATGGTGTGGGATACAGTTCAACTATCCAGTCTCAGTGATTTTCACCACTGATTAAGTGAAAATCTGACCCCCTCATTGCATGAGGTATCAGATAAAGATGTTTCAAAATGTAGCGTCTTTTGTAACTTGTGTCTGCAGAGCTCCCAGCCTGTCCCTGTTTGCAGAATGGGAGGGGGGAAAGGGAGCATAGGGAGTTTAGTCTGGGGGGGTTTCAGCCCTGCTGATGTGGGGGGAGGGCTCCAATTCACCCACCCCACCCTTCAGCACCAGCTGGGGAGCCCCAAGAATGAGCTCCCTTTGCTGCCTTACCCTCCTCCCATTCTGAAAACAGTGAGCACTGGCAGAGAGCCCTGGCAGTTGGTATAGGAACCTGGCTGCAGACTCCCAGCCCGTTCCCCTTCCCCTGGAACCAACAGTGAACTTCTGTTTGGTCTGGGGTAAGGTTGTAACTCAGAGCGCTTTGCAAAAATCCTTCTGAGTTACAGCTGGGAGCTGCACTTCTGTCTGCACCAATTTAGCACAAAGCCATTTTACATAAGAGCTTGCTTTTCTCCTATTTTATCCACAGGCCAGAACCTGGTTGAATACCAGCAGAGCAGCACAATGGCAATCTTTTCAGTAATGTTGATTTTCTAAATATAATCTGAAGAGAAAACATCTGAAGAGAAACTTCAAATACTTTCACTCATATTCTACATAGATTTCTATGGACTTAAATAGGATCTTCAGTATTAAAAAATTCCCTTGTTTCAGTCTGATCACAACATTTGCATACTTAGAAGAAAGCAGAATATACACTTTAAGATTAACACCAGTGATGCCTGGAGGCAAGATCTTCCAAGTCAGCACATTAACACAAAGAAAATCAATACCAACAATGAGAATATTAAAGCTGCTTACATGAAAAGGCAAATGGTACATGGTTCTTACACAAAGGGAGTCTCCCCACACCCCTGTTCTTCATGTAGGGGCTGAACAGAAGGGGAGTCACTGTACTTGAGGCAGTACAGGACATACTCCCATCCCAGACCCCTAGAATTGCACAATGCAGCTCACAGTTCCTCCATTCTGAACTGAAATTCTTTCAGGGCTTGACCCTTCCCTCTAGTAGAGTTGATCCATTAGTTCTGCATGAGTAAATGTTAGCAAATGTAGTCCTTCAGTTCCCTCAAAACAAGTCATTCATGGATCTTTCTATAAAGACACTATATTTACAGGACAATGTTTTTAGAATGTTGTTTTTGCAAAGTATAAACTTACCCTACTATTACTATTACAAAATCCAGTAAATTCCATCCATTTCTAACGTATGCATTGGGGTGTAATAATAATCCATATGCTATAATCTTCAAAAATGTTTCAATTGTAAAAATTATCAGGAAGGCATATTCTACTTTTTCCTGTGTAAAAAAAGAAAAAAAAAATCAGAACAAAAGACAAAGTAATTTAAGAGGTTAGTCTTTAATTAAACTTTAATTCAAATGACTGGATAATTCTATTGATCAGTATTAAGAAAAGACACTGACTCAAGAGAATTTCTCTCTTTGAATCTAAAAAGCCCTTCTGTGGCAGCTGACATAGTATTTAGCCTGTTGAATGAACTGATTATAATTAAATTTTAAAGTCAAAGGACCAAATTTAGGGTACAACCCTGCAAACGTTCACTGATTCCAATAAGACTAAATGCATGCATAGAGTTAAATATATTTTGCAGGACTGGGCCCTTGCAATGCTGTTTAAAGAGAAATAACTTAGTTCCACTTGATTAATCTAAACTCAATTAGGATCTGCAAGGTCTAGTTACACCAGTCTACTAATGTTAAAACAGTGTGGTCACCTGCATGCTAAGAAGCTGCATGGTGTATATTAAGGTAGATTCTGCCCAAGTTTAATTTGATACCTTTTACAATTTCTTTTTGTCTCCTCAGCACATATGTTACACCAACTTAGAATGTGTCCCAATGCATTTTTAAGCGTGTCTAATTTATTACCATTATTAAAGCTCACATTTAAAATACAATTAGAGCTATCACCTGAATTATTGTCATTTTATCATTGTTAATTGGGCATTTTTTATATTTGTCGCTTCCTCTTTCCCACATAAATCAAATATTAGTGTATTTGGGCTTGGGTACACTATAAGATAGTGGTTTATCAAAATGGATCAACAACAACATTTGTTCTCTCCATGTTCTGAAATCCCTACTTCACGAAGTTGAATAAGCTTTTTGTTTACTTGTCAGTTCCCACACAAATAGGAGAGCCAAGAATACAAGACCTGCAGAGAATGATTCACATTTTTATACTGAATAAGGAACTCACTGGAGACAGTTCATTATAATCTTATACAACACTACCAAGCAGTTTAATTCTGAAAGGATAAGTATCATAAGCCTCTACTATCATATATTAATATATTAAAGACTATTAGCTATTTATTTACTCGGCATGCACAAAAATGAAAAGATAGCCCTTGCTCAAGCAATTTATAGCCAGAAGACAGACCTGGAAAGGACATGCAAAAGGAGGTCATCTTCATTCAGGGGGATTGGATTGCCCATCTAGTGGAAAAAGTGCCTGAGGCTGGATTTACTAAGGAATTTTCTGAGATGTCCTTGAATTGTTCTCCTGAAATTGATCTGTCAGGAAAATAGGGATTATTCCTCCTCCCAGCAGAATGAGAAGGGGGTTTTTCCTCCCACTTCTCAAAGGCACTGGACACAGGAGCTCTGGCAGGATGGCTCCAGCTTCTGCAGCATCAGCGCTTCCTCTGCTGTTAGATGCTTCAGGTACACAATGGAACTTTACTTAAAGAGTGCTTTTGCATCTTGCACTGCCTTTATGTTAGTGTGCCTACTGGGGAGAAAGTGTCTGAAGAAAATTAGGGCCTTGTTATATTTTGCACTTTGAGCTGTTCAAATGTTGATCAGTGTTAGTGCTTCCTCGAATTTGGAGCAGTCACATCTTAAGCCTAAAAACCAAGGCTATGCGAAGCTTCAGTTCCTGATTCAATTCATCAGACATTCAGCCCGATTCAGTGGCTAAATCTCCGAATCTGAATCGAATCAGGAGATCCTTTAATCTCTCCAAATAGAATCAGAACCCTCCAAATTGATTTGGAGAGATTCGGAAAGATTTGGAGAGTAATCCAACATAGCACAACTTTAAATGTTTTTTCTACATACCTCAAGGTGCCAGGTGGCTCATGAATGCTGAGATGGTGGGGTGGATGGAGCATCCCACAGAAGCAGAGGGGGCTCCCCAGTGCGCTTGGCAGCAAACCCAGAAGTGGAGCAGAAGTATTTCTGGTCCACTTCTGGGTCTACTGGGGAGCACACAGGGTCCCCCACCCCATAAGCCCTTTGGCTTGGTGACTGGTGCCTCCTGGGTCTGGGGGGGGCAGCCAATCGCCAAGCTGGGAGGATGTGGGGGCAGGCCCCCAGCACGCTCCCCAACAGACCCAGAAGTGGACCGGAAGTAGTTCCGGTCCACTTCTGGGTTCACCGCTGAGCACACGGGCAATAAACTCTAGCGCAAGGCAATAAACTCTGGCACAGTTTGTGCCAGAGCTTATTTCTCCTGGGGGCACCTTTTACACATGCACCCAGGACTGCAGCACATTGAGCCGGGGCGGTGCAGCCCTGGCTGGCAGGGGGCCCTAGGGGTCAGCCTGCCAGTCCAGAGCTGCTCCCCCCGAGCTCAGCATACTGTAGTGGGGCTGGCTGGGTACTCCAGTGTGGAGCTAGTCAGCAGGCAGCCCCCACACTGTAGCAGCCTTGTGACCCTGCCAACCCCAGTCACCACCTACATGTGCATTACGGCAGAATAAATAACTCTGCCTTAGGATAGTACTTAGGATAGTACAGTGGAGTTAATTAGTTCACGCTGGCCTAACAGAGGCACACATGTAGATGGTGATGCTTTACTGCAGAGCTAATTAGTCAACTGCAGTCAGGTGTCTCATGTAGATGCACCCAGTCTCATGTTTTAATTTGGATTTGGGCTGTAGGGGGTGCTGGTCATGCTTCCTGGGGTGAGTGGAAGGTGGGAGCAGTGAAGGAAGATGCTTTTCGGGGAGCTACTCTCTCTGCCTTGGGAAGGAAGACCTAGCTCATGGTGACCCAATCTAGCCTCCTACCTCGTTTCCCCTCATGCTCCCTACAGCCCACTACTGGACCCATCCATACCCTGCAACCTCGCTAGCTGACATGTACTCTGCAGACTGTTTGCACAGGGTTGCACCCCTGGAGATGGGAAGGTCACGCCCCTGAGGGTGGGAGGGTGTGTTGGCTTGGTGCCAGAACCCCCTTCCCCTTCTGGGCAGTAGTTTGGGGGAGAGGACTTTGTCCACACAAAACAGGAGGAGGGGAAGAGACACCGCATCTGGGATGCTGGAGGACTACAACTTGGGTGATTCCTCTGTGGGGAGGCCACACATTAATGGAACATAAGATGGGTAACACAGATTGGAGAGAATCCTGCCCTGGAATGAAATAACTTTAAGCTGCCCTAAAGTGTGCTTAAAACTAGTTTCAGGTGTTAATGTATGGATAATCCAGGGGTTAAAAGCTCCAGAAGCTACCTAAAATTAATGTGCGACAAAGGCCTTACAGGGCACTGAGGAAGAAGTAGTACTATAGAAAGACTCTGAATGGTTTTGCATAGAAGGTGACATGTAGGAAGGTCCAAAGACCCAGTGTTATGGGTTATGAGTACTCCTGAGAAATACTCTGTAGAAATGTTGAAAATAAAGGCAAGCCTCAATGTTTATACAGTCTACAAGAACAGCTATTTCCATCTCACTATTGATAAGCAAGACTCTGACTTGAACACAAAAAGATAAATAGTGTAAGACAACATAAAGAAGGCAAAATATATTATGGTTGGCATTTGCTACAGGCAACATACATAGTTGCCAGAGTATTAAGAGAGAAATTTAAACAATAAGAGATGGGAAGTTTTGTCTGTGACAATTTGAATAGCATTTTTTGGGGATAGGAACAGAAGACGTAGCACTTGCAAAGATCTCGTGGGTCATCAAGCATGCCCCTGCGTGACCCACCCCCACCCCGCCACTGTTGATTGGCAGAGGGGCCCCACCACTCCCTCCAGTTTGAGCCGGGCTCCAGAGTGAGATGCATGGGCAGAATCCCATTGCACCTCCATGAGCTCCACGACCCCCAGAACCACCAGCAGGACCATGGCAGACCCCAACCTTTACCCCGAGCACAGCTGGGAGGTAAGTGGGGCCTGAAGTGGGTGGAAGCTAGTCAGCTGCAGGGCAGTGGAGAGGAGCCGAGGAGGGTCATGCCCCCGCCCCCAGCTCCTATTTGGCCCAGCCCCCACAGGGAGCCACACAACCGGTGCCGCCCAGCCCATGAGACAAGGGAAGAGGGGGCACTCACCTATCCCCTTCTCTGGTGGGGCAGGGTCCCCCAGCCCCCGAGAGCAGTGCAGCACCAGCAGTGACCCCTTCTGCACATGCACAGAGTTTAAAAAGGGCCCGCCAATGGCAGAAGCTGCAGTTTGGGCCTGGCTATGGAGTGAGAAACACAGATGCAAGCCTGTTGCACCCCTGTGAGCCCTGAGACCCCCAGAACCGCCATTGGCGGTCCCTCAAAGTCAAGGATGACATCCTTCAGGTGACTGAAGAGACCAATTCTGGATGCACACATTCTTTGGCAATGAGAGCGTGTTGTTGCACAGGGGAGTGGGATTCGCAGCCCCAGGTTGGTCCCCTTCTCCTTCCTCTGCCGCTGCCGTTCTGCCTCAGTATTGAGTCGTTGGGCCTCAAAGTGGCACATGCCTTGGTGGACAAGGTGGTGCCATGCCAAACAGTCAGCAGCTTGCTCCTCCCAGCCACTGGTGTCAATGCCTCCATGCTTGAGGGCAACCTTGAGCGTGTCTTTGTACCATGAGGTCTGCTGCCTCCCAGGGACCCGTATCCAGGATGTAGCTGAGAGGATCCTGAAACTTATCCAGCCCTCCAACCATTACTCCATGCTCCTTATTCATGTGGAGCAATCCCAGCCGGGTCATGAATCCTGGAGTCCCAGACAGGACTCTGGGAGCAGGGCTCAGAAGGTCTGGGGCACAGGTGGTTTTCTCCTCGATCCTTCCAGTTACAGGTCATGGGCATAGGAGGGTGAGAAGAATTCAATAAGTAAACAGAAGACTGTGGTGCTGGTGCCATTGTGAAGGCTTCGGATTCTATGACCGCAGCCTGCACTTCAAAGAGAGTGGCAGCGAGTTATTGGGAAGGGACGGCCTCCACCTCACTCGCATGGGTGACTTACCTGCTTGACTGGGCTTTAAATTAAGTTTGCCAGGGGATGGGCAGATAATCAGTGGTGCAAGCTCACCAAGCATCAGCCATCAAGTCAGTAGCTGTATAAAGGAA